GCATGGACATTGTGAAATTGATTGAGTCGCAGGAGACCGATAGGGGTGACCGTCCAAGGAAGAGGGTTGTCATCAGTGACTGCGGTGAGCTACCTGTGGCATGAGGCGGGAATACAAATATAAAGCACTTAATTTTTGCTTAATTGATATGTTAAGGCCCGTTGCCAGATATCAGAGGATTCTCAGTACTGAGTTTTCATCCAAAACCCAAGGCTTTTCCTCGTTCCTTTTTTGGGTCTCTGTAGGATTTCGAATTACAGGGTAAAAAATTTCTTGCCAGTAGTGAGTATGTTGTATTCCTGTAACCTGGGCAGATGCGAGTTTAGTTGACATTGAATATACTAGATGGTAATAGACTTGTTGCTTCTATACAACCACTGTTTGGATTATGTTTGTCTTGATTAATGTGATGAATTAGTGTTACATCATGTATAGAAAGGGGATCCCAGTTTAGTAACTTAGATGCTACTGGGTCTGCGAAATAAGAAAGGGGATTCCAATTTAGTTTCAAGTAAGGGTTGGATTTGACACAACAATTGGAAGTATATGGTTATATCTCCTGAGAGAGGCGACAATGAACAAATAACATAGAAAAGGACAGTAGGAAAAAAGGTTTGGTCATTGTTAAGCAGCATACTTGCCTGTGTATGAACGATCATAACTACCCAACAGCTGCAATTGGGCACATAACAGATAGCTCCATTTTGTCAAAGGAATGTGGTAAATCCAGTTGCTTGCTTGATTCTGTGCCGGGGTTGAGAGGTAAGTCAGACGAGAGGGAGAGTAGCTTCATAATTTACTCCTATACCACAACTTTTAGTAAACCCGTCTATTCTGATAATTAGAAAATCCTGATATGTTCTTTAGCGGCTTTACTTACATGTTTGATAGATTACCAACTTTTTCTTTAAATAACCATGCGGCTGAGAATTCTTCTATCTGGTGCCTGCTACCCCTACCATATATTGGCACAACGAGACTTAGGCGGTGAGATTTTGAACCTGATTTCTCATGGTTTTCATCACTTTCATTGATCACTTGGTTTCGTTCATTAATTGCTTGGCCACATGGTTTACAAACTTGATAAGCACTAGGAATTGATCTCCATTGGCATATGAATATTTGTATACTAAATTATCAGAGAAGTTTTGCAGCTGAGTAAGAAGAAGAATGTAATGTGACTGTCTGTCTTCGGAGTTCAAAAATAAATATCCTATAGATAGCCATCAAGGATCTGACCCAAAATCATTTTGTACATTCATTTTTGTATCTTTCAACTGTTCAAACATCCATCTACAAAGCCGAGGTGCACTTTACAGAAGGTTTATAGAGCAGTGAAATTAACCAAGGAACTTCAAAGAATAATTGTGACATAAATGAATAAAACATCCTTATTGTAACGTCTTATAAAGCAAATTTCACCATAATGCTTTATTATGCTATATTAGTTGTTAACTTCTTTATACTGTACTTTTTCAGTTAAGAAAAATCTAAAAGGGCATCTTGTAAGATTTTAGAGGAGTAACAGAAACTACTTGTTGCCAACCTCGACGGGATAATGATAAAGTTCGACACTTTTTCATACACAATTTCTTTGTTTATCTTGGAAATGTGGGCAAAGGAAGGAGAATAGGATTACCTGTTATACGTTAAAACCGATTAGCATGTCTCTATGTCTGTGTTCTTGTTACAATTTTCTTGCTCTCCAATAGGCAAAAGGATAACGAATAGATATATGCAAAAAAGAAATGTCAGACGAACCTTTTAAGCTCAAAATTAAGGACATTTGTGTTAGTTTAAATCTTTTTAATTCGTAAATTTGCCCCTAGATAAAATTTTATATGGAGGAGGAATATATATTGGAGCGTTGCTATTTGGATTTGGGAGGGCAAAATCTAAAAATACAATATGCTCTGTGTGTGTGTATGTAAAACAGAAGGCTAGTTGGAGCCTGGAGGTGGTCCATGTGGGCACAAAATTGATGATTATGATGGATCGGTGTCAGGATCGAATTGAGGCCGCACTCTATCCATTCAAAAGAAATTGATAAAGAGTAGTAAATGATAAGACTCCTTTTAAGGATTGGTCAGAGTTTTTATGCCACGTCCTTGCCCTTGTTTCTATGTTGATTTTCCAGAATCTTGAACATGTGATTGTGTGGTGTGGACTGAGATTAGCAGTACTAGTGCCCCTGCGGCTGCCCCATCCAAATTGGTCGCAATTCAAAAGGCAAATAGGAAACAAGTTGGACACTTGGACTCCATAGATAAGACCACCCACACAATTAACAGTGATTAGGATTAATCAAATGTCATTCTAATCTTGACTAATCCAAAATCACAGACGCATATGACTCATTAAAATTGGAGAAGTTTTATTTTGTGTCTCGTACAACTGACACTAGTTGTATGAAGCTTTTTTTTGTCTCACAAAATTGTGGACCTCAATCTTACACTTCTGGGTCCACTGAATTCTGGGTCCACAAAACTGTAAGACAAAAAGTTGCCTCATACAACTAATGTAAGTTGTATGAGACACAAAATAAAATTTTCCTTAAAACTGAAAGTGTTCTTTACCAATTTTAATTTTAATTTTTAGGCTTGAAGCTGCGACCTCTAATTAAGAATAAAATGATACTATTATACATAAATTTTAACGTATTGAATTATTCACATATGGAATAATAAAATATAAACTATTACATCTTCCGTTCATTATTATATATATACGTCCTTTTCTAATTTATTTTGAAAAAAATGTCACATTTTTATACTAGTAAGTTTTTAATTTCAATATTTTTTATTACATTTCCTTATAGGAATGACATAATCTTTTAACACCACATGATTTTAAGTTTTTTTATATGTTATACACACCTTTTGGTGGCAAATTATGTATTGACATTTTTTCCTTTCTTTGTTCCTTCCAGTTTTTGTTTCACTCCCTATTCGTCTTAATAACGGGCCTTTACTCGACGCGATTCTAGATTAATCAAGACCTCAATACAGGTAGCGATCATGGAGTTGGAAAAAAAAAGAATCTGTTTTACACAAATGACTAGTGACTACTATCACCAAGGGATCATATCACATATTGTAAAGGAAGCAGAGCATTATTTTAAGAGAAATTTTCATAAAACACTATCTTTTAGTGGTAATTAGCTATTTATAGATACCATTTGCTATATTACGGATTGTAAATACGTTTTCTGTTGTTATAAGATGTATTAGATGTATTTAACCTACTGTATTCATGAATATAGTAGCAAAAATAGGCGTGAATCAAGGAAGTCCAGCTAATCAGTTGTTGTATTCGAGTGTATTCATGGCGTGAAATATGTAATTACAACGTTTTTAAACGGAAAGTGAATCAGTTAACATAATAGACTCCTAATATAACTCAACAAACTCAATTATAACACACAAATTTTGTATTTCCAGTTATAAAAAAGATTCTCAACCGAAAAATACCCCAAAAACATAGCAATCTTCAGATAAATTATATAATACATCTGAATACATAAATTATATTAATTAAAAAAAATATATGAATACATTCATGGCATATAGCGAGACAGTGAATACAAGGAAATACATAGAATACAGCAGGATACATTGAAATGCAATTGAAAAAAAAGACAGTGAATACAATGAAATACACGGAATACAGCGAGATACATTGAATTACAATGAAAAAAAGACAATGAATACAATGAAATACATAAAAATACAGCGTGATACGTTGAAAATACAATTGAAATATATTAACAGAAAATCAAGTTGCTCAGCCCCAAATTCCGTCGTCCTTGTTCAAGAACAAACCCTACTGGAGATAGTGCCACCAAAAGCTCCAAACTCCGTTGAAATTGATTGTGGCTTCTTGCAGTTCATTGTGGTCAAATACGTGAATTCCAAAATAGTGTGAAGCCTTTTCAGGGTCCCTTATTGAGGAGGGATAAGAAAGGATGCTACTGGAGATCAAAGACGAACCATCGTCACTTTTCTTCTGTCGACGACAATAGAGAATGAAAATTACACATGCCACAAAGACAGTTAATGACTGTAATTGGGTACAAGCATCAGTCGGATACTAAAGATGGCGGCGATATCTGTGGCGGCATTGGTATTCTTGGTATTGCTTGGGCTTTTGGTGGCACGATTTTTGTTGAGATTGAGCATCGTGTTTTCAGGGAATGTGGAAGAGAATGACATGTATCAAAGTAGAGAGAAAAAGAAAAAACTGAATAGCGTATTTATGGCTTAGGAGTAGGAGGTAACCAAAATTAGATATTTTACTATAAACATTAAAAGGTATTTATAGAATATTATTTTTTTTAAATGGTATTTATTTAAAATAAATAAGGTCTTAACCTTTGCTATAGGAGGTAAAAATTCCTTATTTTAACTGCCAACAAATCAATTGAATTTTTGCTAGCTAAAAGTTGCAACGAAGTAAGCCTTTTATGTCCTTGTCATCCGCAATGAGTGCTCTAGAAATTTAAAAATGACTAGATTTACAAATGAACATTCAAAAATAACCACAGTTTCAAAAGTAATCGAAATATTATCTACTTTTCATGTAAAAATAAATCTGAACGAAAACACTGTTCAAAATCCGGAAAATACTCCAGTATAATATACCGGTCCAGCATAATATGCTGGAAGTGCTCCAATCTTCAGTATATTATGCTAGAACTTTCCACATGTTAGAGTTCCAGCATAATATGCTGGAAATTCATACACAGGTGCACCCATCTCCAGTATATTATGATGGAACTTTCCGTATTGCAGCAAAATAGTGGCTATTTTTCAATTACTTTGCAAACGCTGGCTATTTTTGAATGACCAGTCCGAAAACTGGCTAGCCCGTGCTATTTTTACTCTATTGTAGTGGTTAGTTCAACATCTCCCAAGAAGAAGTTTTAGCTATTATCAATGGGCATTGAACTCTTCCTTTCGTGTTATTTTCCCCCTTTAGTTTCTGGGGTTGATAAGAACTAGTACTAGTCTAACAAAGAGGATCAAGTAAACATTGTCGAAAATGTATTGTATTTACAATGCCCCCAGGTCACAGGATGGCTGTACATTTGTTTACAAGATTGAAACAGCCCGAGATCAACAAGGGGTTTACTAACTAATGCTTTGCTTTGCTGCAAAGCCTATGACTAATCACATCTATGCTACCATTCCTATCTATCAACTTCTCATGAATATGACTTTGTTAATCCCAAGTTGTTGAGAAATTTCTCTGACCTTGATCTAAATATGTTACCTAAAGAGAACCTGGCAGTTTGCTGTGGTGGTGAATTCGAGTAGAGATCGTCCCTTACTCGAAGAATAGTCATACCTATTTCGTTTCGCACTGCCTCAATCGTTTCAGTTTTAACTGGACCCCCTGATGCATCAGTCACATAAAACACGTTAATAGCTTGTGAGCCCTTTGTCATGACCTCAGCTCGGGAAACAGAAAGACCATTCTCCCTAAATATGCGAGTCACATCAGATAGAAGCCCGATTCTGTCATCACCACACAATTCCAGTCTTATTCCCTGCATATTACAGAAAGAAGGAATTAAATTTACAAGTGCGGAGACTCAGCACTTAATTTGCATTCGAATGAGTTTATACCGTTGAAGTTCTCCTCTTGACTGCTGCCTCTAAGCAGTGTATTACACGTTGCCTCTCCGCTTCAGAACTAACCGGGCACCCATCCATATGCCTAATATAATATTCCTGGAAAACACGTATAGAGGATAAGATCCCACAATTCTCTCATTATCAAGCTCATTCATACTCCTATGACAAGGTGTAAACAAGAGAAAATAACAACTCTTTCTTGGTCTGAGACTGCTACTGGCCCAAGATGGTGAACCGCATTTCTTTGAGAATGCAGTTTTAGCAAAAGAACTAGGTTCATGTAGATTAAGACAGAAGAAAACAATTTAGGACATTTTCAAGAATTTAGAAGAGTACCTGAGAAGCCTCAGGTCCTTCAGCAATGATGGTAGCATGATACACTACATATTGCATATCTGTTAACGTGCACACTGCATCAAAGAGCAGTTTCGGACGGTCTGCACATCTCAAATTTACAACGGTATAGCCTTTATCTGCACAACTTTCTACGGTTACCAGGGGCTTCCTCTGGTCAACTGATACACAATCTGTATCATCTTTATCATAATCACGATCAGCATACATCATTTGATGTAGCCTCCTTTCAGTATGAGTGGAGCCAACGGAAACTGCTGTATTGGCGCCTCGCCTATCTCTATCTCCTTTTAAAACATACAACAGTAATTTCCTGATTTTGGCAAGCCTATCAGGATCAGTTATTGCTAATCCGCTTTCTTCATCAGTTATGTAAACAACTGATGCCATTCTTGAATTATGAGTCCATACTTCTGCTGCTACAACATTATTTTTATGGTCGGCGAGAACAGCAAAGATCTCTGAAAGCAATCCTGGTCTGTCTCGCCCCGTCAGTTCAATGGTTGTGTGTTCTGCTGCAGATTGAACACCTACAGATCTTTCCATAGAACGGAAGCTGCGGCCCCTCGGTCCAAGTGACTGCAACACAAGAAAATATCCCTCTTTAATGTCACTCAATCTCACACCATAACAGTATCTGTACTGAGTAAAGCATTTATTGTATCTTCTTCTTTAATTTGGTGATATCCACTTGCTGACAAAAAATTCAATATTACTTACTATTTCAACGAGCACATCAATCCTAAGAGCTTTATACTAATATCAACTGGTGATTGATAGACTCAAGAAAAAGGGGAAATGAGGGAATTCACTTTAAGGCAGATGAACACACAAAGCATCTAAACATATTCCATTTTCTAAAAGTGATTAAATTTTTAGCATTAATGAATGATTCAGGAGAGTAAATAATCGCTACCCAATCAATCAATCAATCAAGTACGGCTCAATGCTGATTAGATTTACCTGCTGAATGCGTTCGGCAACATTATCTTCAGAGAGCTTATTTCCATGTTGATCAGTGACATGAAATACTGCAATCAAGAATGCAGAAAACAATTAGTAGGAACACACAAGGGTTTATTCCTAAATAAATTGAGGAAACCTCAGCAAGAATCTAAAAACTTACCATCCATAAACCATTCCCCATCAGAAGATATATAAGCTCTCCTGATTATAAGGTTCAAATCAGTAAGAACTTGAACCACTTCTAACAAGCTTCCTCTTTTATTTGCACTATCTACCTGCAAAGAAATCTGATTCAAACCCCATATAGAAAAACAAAAACAAAAAAAGATTGCATCTTTAATAAATACAAACATATTCATACATACCTTGATCAAAGTTGTTTTCTTGTCAGAAGTATTATCAACAGTAACCCTATAAATACAATCATCAAATTTGACAGTTGAGTCAGCATAAGAATGCATAATTGTCTAATCTTGGTTACAAATTTGAAGGCAAATGGACATACCTTGGGGGGTTCATTCGGAGAACAAGCTTCTTGAATTCATCATCAACAGTGAAAGAAGAAGACCAGTTATCCATTGGAAATATCAAATTATTCTCTGTGCTGTTTTAATTTTCTGATTTCTTGTCACACAGTTTGTGTTACTGCTTATAGATAGAGGTGTGTGTGTGTCCCGAGTTTGAGTCGTAGGAAAGGATCTGTGTTATTTGCTGGCAGTGGTTATAAAGGTGTGATTGGATGGCTCTTGAGATTTGCCAAGAGTTCTTTAATTGTTTGGGACATTATTATAATTTTACATAAAGAAATATAGAGATGGTCAGTCACTTGGTCAGGGCTCATCGTGACTACTACACCTGTTACTCATTGCCGTGTCATCTGGACCCCATCATCACAAACACGCCGCCTACCTTATTTGGCAAATATTGTTACATCAGAATTTAATAAGCTCCCATTTGGATCCCGAACCAAAGTGTGGTTCATTAGGACTCAAGCGACAAAAATAGGTAAAAAAAGATTGGGTACCATAATATTTATAGTGCAATTATTCGGCGCGCTATATCTTAACGACACGTTTGTCCATTAAGGTATAGCGCGATGAATAACCGCGCTATACATAAAACATGGTCCCACCAATAATTCATCTGCAACTGACTAATACACCAATAATTCATAAGGGTATACCGCGCTATACATCAAATAATTGTACCCCCGGGACTGATTTTTTCTTATTTAAGGAGTTTCAGGATTTTGTAAAAATCCATTCAGGATCCTTCAAGTCTTCTGAAATATTTGTTCGTTAAGTTATTTTGCAATTTGTCATAATGTCCGAATAGTGAAAAATTAGCGTTTTATTATATTGGCGGGGGGGGTAGGGGGGGGGGGTTTGAGGGGGGTTGAGGTTGTGGTGGAGAATAACTCAGTACGCTATAGTTGTTCTCCGCAGTGTCATGTTAAGTTGCCACTTACAATGGAGTACGATAGATTGGTATCGTTGTTATGTAAAAAATGAGTGTAAGCAAATGTTCGTTGAATACTAAAGTAACCGAAAGATATCCGTATTCTGTTACTCTACAAGGGGTTGCTTGTTATGCTGAGTTTAATATCAAAGACGATGAAACTCTAACAGATTTTTTGAGGACTCCAGATGAACACCGGGAACTTCTTGTGATAAAAATGTTAGAAAAGTACGTCAAGGCTGAAGATGTTCGCAATAATGAGGTTCTGCGAAGTAGGGATATCCCTCAATATCAGGTGGTTATTTCGGAGCAGTTTTAGCCGAACAGGTTCCGGATGAAAGAGTTTGGCTTGATCTAAACTTATCTCAACGGGCGAATGAGGAGCGATGAAATAATTTCTCCCCAAGTTTACATAATCCACAAGCCGAGTGGTAAACTTTAATTTTCCTCTATGTTACGATATTTATTTTTATGTATTGGATTTGTATTAAAAATAATATATTTCCCAGGGGTACCGGCTAGATATGAATATTACAAGTTATGAACCAACGGCCAGTTGGAATATGCCTAGTTTTGGTGTGTTGGATCATGGTGGTATATCTGGGAGTCATCATCAACAAGATAATGTGCATCATGGGATATCAACACATTATGATTTGTAAGTGAAGTGATAAATCTATATGTAAAGTTTGGATGAATTTGAGAAACTCATTATTTTATTGGTTGTGTAGTGAAAACTAGCAACTTGAAGGTCCTATCCTTACTCAATTTCCCGAAGATGACATATGCAGATGCGTAGAGTCAGGAACATAATAGTGATTATGACAACAACGTTGACGAGTCTTGAGATGACACACCCTTCCCTGATGAGGGCGATGATGAGGAGGACGAGAATGCTGAACCTGATTTGACGAGGGAGCATGCTATACCTCCCATTAGACCAAGGTGTACGAGTCCTATGTGCCGTTTCATTCAAGAGAGATTCCCTACCTTGATCATTTGCCAAGCATGTCGGATGTGGATGCCCTCACAAGGGATCTTGACAAAATTCGGACAGCAATGTGGGATGAATCTAGAGCAACGATGCTGTCAAAGTGCATGCTTTTTGCTGATAAAGCGCGCCTAAGCAGGGCGGTGCGAATGTACAACATAAAAGAATGTAGTGAGATCGTGGTTAATGAGTCATCTCCGGACGTATACAAGGTTATTTATCGTAGATGGTTTATGGGTTGTAATTGGATGTTGTGTGCGAGGAAGCAGAAAACAAATATGTGGGTTGTGGGTAAATACATTGGCACCCACAATTGTGAAATAGACACATTCAGTGGGAATCATTTTAACTTGAATGTTGACTTGATTTCTCTTGTCTTAATTCCACACATTGAAGCGTCCATAAGGTACAAGATCAAGGAGTGTATAACATCTGTCCACCAGGTATATGGATGTATGATCACGCCCAACTCTAGTCCTAAAAAGGATAAGCGGTCGCTGCAAATATAATCCGGTCTAAAAGTCTGGAGTCGAATCCCACAGAGAACTAAGGCTTAGCTGTATCTGTTTAATATCACCAAGAAGACAAGATTGAAAATAAATAAACAGCTGAAAACTAACTATGCTTGAATTGTAAACAATTAGAATAAAGGTCTAAGGTAATGGTTTCCCCCGTTGTTGATTTCCTTGGTTGTATGTTTCATATAGCGTTGACTTAGTTGCCTCTATCAATCATAAACTCTCCGGCTATCATAAATCTCTCTCAAGCAATTATGATAATTTACTAGACGCACTCTCTCAAGCTACGCTAGCTAGATTCACATTACAATTCACTTAGATCGCACCCGAGGTATCGTTATCTCTAATCCAACCTCTAAACCCTCGGTTATGACTCTCGCCTATACTCCGAGAGTGATGTTGTTCAAACAACTACCTAAATATGCACTCTCTCTCAAGCAGATACATTATAAATAGGAACGACTAATTGAGGATCCTTTCAATTAAACACAATCAAAACATAGTTGAACAAATAGAGATTAAACTAATTCAAATCTATATTACTTATAACAACCAATTCATCCCCAACGGGTTTCACCAAAACCTTAGATGATAAAAGTTAGCTACTCATGAAAATAACAAAAATCACAAAAGGCTTCATATTCAAAGGTAAAAGAACAAAGAAGAAGATTAAAGATTGATGCCCAACGATCCTCCTTGCCTCTTGCCCTTCCTTCTGATGTTTTTCACTTCCAAAAATCTTTTTTTTCCGCTCTTGGCCGGCCTCCCTCGTTAAATATAGGGTTTAGGGCTTAAAATCCCGTGTTTTGCACTTTACTCCCTGAAATTTACGCGTCCTGCCGCGGTCCCACCGCGGTTACGCCAGGACCGCGGCCAGAATGGTCCTCTGAATCTTTGGTAATGTTCTGTCGCGGTCCTACCGCGGTCCTATCATAACCGCGGTTTTTCACCCTGTTCCGTTTGGAATTGGGAAAAACGTAAAACTTGAAAGTTGTAGCCCTTTGAGTTAGCTTTCCAACCATATATTGTGGAGCCCAAATGGAGTTTTGAGAAAAAAGTTATGTGCATTTTACTAGACAGTGTGCAATATGCCTACTCGAGTCTTTGTTTGTTCTCAACTATCAAATTTGACCCCCGAACACGATCCCTGCTTAATTCCTTGAGCTTTTACTCAGACTTCAAAGCTTCAAATCACTTAAATTCATTCCATAACATCTATATAGCTCGGAATCACACCTACAAGGCATAAAACACACAATTAGTGCAAAACACTAGCGATTAAAGCGCAAACTCAACTAAAGTGCAGTAAATTAGAGTGTAATAAGCGACTAAAATACGTAATTATAGCCTATCATCAATGTACCATTACCAAAAGAAAGGCGTTTCTCGGGCGCAAACGTGCGTTTTAAATTATGTATGGTAATTGGGATAAGTCCTTTGTGTCTCTACCCAGGTACATGGCCGCATTGCAACACTTTAACCCCGGGACTGTTGTTGAATGAAAGCTTGAGCGGAGTCCGGGAATACTAGAATGTGTTCTGGGCATTTAACCAGCCATTGACAGTTTTGTGCATTGTCGGCCGGTAATATCCATAGATGGAACTCATGTCTATGGAAAGTATGATATAAGTTGTTGATCGTCGTTGCATTAGATGCTAATGGAAGTATATTTCCCCTAGCATTTGCTATTTGTGCCAATGAAAGCCAAAAGACGTGGACATTATTTTTGAACCACTTGAAGGAGCACGTTGTTAGACACCATTCAGGTATTTGTCTAATATCTGATCGGCATGGCGGCATTTTAAGTTCTGTACTGAATTTGCGTGCGTGGCAGGTACCGTATGCCTACCACCGTTACTATGTTAGGCACTTGAAGGCCAACTTCCAGAGGGCTTATCCGAACAAGGACTTGCATGATTTAATGTGGATGGCTGCAACAGATCACCAAGAGTGTAAATTTAGGAGGTGAATGGATTGATCAGGCAGGAAGACCAAGGAGCCTATAGTTGGTTGATGCGACATGAGCTTGACAAGTGGACTTTGCATGCGGATGGTGGCAGAAGATGGGGAATTCTGACTACAAATGTGTCAGAGTCTTTCAACGGGTTATTGAAGTCTGCACGTGGATTGCCTATCACTACCATGGTACGGATGTCATTCAAGCAGATGGCGGAGAGGTTTGTTGAAAGTCGAGATGTGCATCGTCGTTGATGGAAATGGGTGTTGAATTTATGCCAATACCAATGAAAAGATTTGAGAAATATAGAAAGCGAGCACAGTGTCATTCATTTTTGTAGTACTGCAACGGGCGAAATATTTTCGAAGTTCGCACTGCTATTCATGGGGGAATAATACACACACCGTCAATGAGGTCAGAAGGTTATGATCCTATGGGAAATGGTCCATCTATCAAATGTCGTGCTCAAATGCCATGAAGTGCTTTCAACATACAGGTTTCGCGGCGACGAGTTACGTTGATAAAGAATATAGTATTGCTGCATACTTAAACACCTATAGTGGATAGTTACAATCAGTGGGTGCTGAGCATTATTAGCCGCCGGAACCATTTAAAATGGTGTGTAACAAGGATTATGTGCGTCAACGGCAAGTGAAGAAAAGAACGCGTATACGAAACCAAATGGATGTTGGTGCTACCGTTTATGCACATAAATGTGGCATATGTTCCCAAACAGGACACGACCACCATAAATGTCTTTCAGCTGGTTTGGGTAGCGATGGTAATTCAGCTCCTGGTGGAAGTTCATCCAATGTGCTGAATTATCAAAGATGC